ACATTATATTCAATTACCAAGAACTTTTGAAGTTCTGAAATATATCTTAGTATTGTTGCTAAGTCACTACCTTGCTTGGCCTTGATAAATTAGACTGTCACTTTTTTGCTTTTTTAAATTTTTATTATTATTACTAGAGACCTGGTACATGAAATTCGTGCACTCGGGGGGGAGTGTCCCTCAGCCCAACCTGCACCCTCTCCAATCTGGGACCCCTCGGGGGATGTCTGACATCCCTCTCTCAATCCAGGACTGCTGGCTCCCAACTGCTTGCATGCCTGCCAGCCTGATCACCCCCTAACCACTCCACTGTCAGCTTGATCGACCCCTAACTAACTACTCCCCTGCCAGGCCGATTGCCCCCAACTGCCTTCCCCTTGAGGCCTGGTCACCCCTAACTGCCCTCCCCTGCCAGCCTGATTGCCCACAACCGCTCTCCCCTGCCGGCCCAATCACCTCTAACTCCTGTCCCCTGCCAGCCTGGTCCCCACCAACTGCCCTCCCCTGCAGGCCTGGTCACCACCAATTGCCCTCCCCAACAGGCCCGGTCACCCCCAACTGCCCTCCCCTGCCAGCCCGGTTGTCCCTAACTGCCCTCCGTGCAGGCCCGGTCACCCCTAATTGCCCTTCCTTGCCAGCTGGGTTACCCCTAACTGCCCTCCCTACAGACCCGGTCACCCTCAACTGCCCTCCCCTGAAGGCCCAGTTGCTCCTAACTGCCTTCCCTGCCAGCTCAATCATGCCCAAATGCTCCCCCCTGCAGGCCCGGTCACCCCTAACTGCCCTCCTCTGCCGGCCTCAATCACCCCCAACTGCCCTCGCCTGCAGGCCTGGTCCCCTCCAACTGCCCTCCCCTGCAGACCTGGTGGCCCCCAACTGCCCTCCCCTGCAGGCCCGGTCAACCCTAACTGTGGTCCCCTGCCGGCCCTGTCCTCCGCAACTACCCTTTCCAGCCAGCCCTGTTCCCCCCCACTGCCCTCCCCTGAAGGCCCAGTCACCCCCAACTGCCCTCCTTTGCCGGCCCGGAAACCACTAACTGCCCTCCGTGCAGGCCCGATCACCCCTAACTGCCCTATCCCGCAGGCCCGATCAACCCAAATGCCCTCCCCTGCAGGCTCGATTGCGGCCAACTGCCCTCGCCTGCAGGCCCAGGCGCCCCTCACTGCCCTCCCTATAGGCCCAGTCCCCCCAACTGCCCTCCCCTGCAGGCCCGGTCAACCCTGTCATCCCCTGCTGGCCCAGTCCCCCCCTCCCAACTACCCTCCCCTGCAGACCCTGTGGCCCCCAGCTACCCACCCCTACAGGCCCAGTCACCCCCAACTACCCTCTTCTGCCAGCCTGGTCACCCCTAACTGCCCTCCCCTGCAGGCCTGATTTCCCACAACTGCCCTCCCCCCTGCAGGCCGGTTGCCCCCAACTGCCCTCCTCTTCCAGTCTGGTAACCCCTAACTGCCCTCCCTTGCTGGCCTGATCGCCTACAACTGCCCTCCCCTGCAGGCCTAGTCACCCCTAACTGCCCTCCCCTGCTGGCTCAGCCTGTCCCAACTGCCCTCCCCTGCAGGCCCTGTTAGCCTTAACTGCCCTCCACTGCTGGCCCTGTCCCCTCCTACTGCCCTCCCCTGCCATCCCTGTAGCCGCAACTGTCCTCCCCTGTCAACCTGGTCACCCCCAACTGCCATCTCCTAAATGCCCGGTCATCTCCAACTGCCCTTCCCTGCTGGCCTGACCGCCCACAACTACCCTCCCCTGCCATCCTGGTCACCCCTAACTGCCCTCCCCTGCCGGTCTGGTCCCCCCCAACTACATTCCCCTTCCAGCCAGGTAACCCCTAACTGCCCTCCCTGTCGGTCTGGTCACCCCCAACTGCCCTCCCCTGCCAGCCCAGTCACCCCTAACTGCCCTCCCTGCAGGACCGATCACTCCCAACTGCCCTCGCCTGCAGGCCCAAATGCCCCTAACTACCCTCCCTATAGGCCCGGTCCTCACAACTGCCTTCGCCTGCCGGTCATGTCCACCCCAATTGCCCTCCTCTGCCGGCCCTGTCTCCCACAACTACCCTCCCATTCAGGCCCTGTCGCCTCAACTGCCCTCTCCTGATAGCCCAGTTGCCCCTAACTGCCCTCCCCTGCAGGCCCAGTCAACACTAATTGCCCTTACCTGGCAGCCCTGTCCCCCTCAACTGCCCTTTCCTAACTGCCCTCCCCTGAAGGCCCGGCCACCCCTAACTGCCCTCCCCTGCAGACCCAGTTGCCCCTAACTTCCCTCCCCTACAGGCCCGGTCACCCCCAACTGCCCTCCCCTGCTGGCCCTGTCCACACAGCTGTCCACCCCTGCAGGCTCTGTTTCCCCAGCTGCCCCCGACTTCTGGCCTGGTAACCCCTAACTGTCCTCCCCTGCAGGCCCAGGAGCCCCTAACTGCCTTCTCTACAGGCCCAGTCACCCCTAACTGCCTTCCCCTGCCAGCCTGGTCACCCCTAACTGCCCTTCCCTGCAGGCCCGGTCAACCCTAACTGCCCTCCCCCACCGGCCCTGTCCACCCAAACTGCCCTTTCCTGCCAGCACTGTCATCCCAAACTGCCCTTCCCTGAAAGCCCGGTCACCCCTAACTGCCTTCCCCTGTAGGCCTGATCACCCACAACTGCACTCCTCTGCCAGCCTGGTCACCCCTAACTGCCCTCTCCTGCTGGCCCTGTCCCCCCCAGCTCCCCACCCCTGCCAGCCCAGTTGCCCCCAACTGCCCTCTACTTCCGGCCTGGTAACCCCTAACTGCTCTCTCCTGCAGGGTCAGGAGCCCCTAACTGCCCTCCCTACAGGCCCTATTGCCCCCAACTGCCCGCCCCTGCAGACCTGGTTGCCCCCCAACTGCCCTCCTCTTCCGACCTGGTCACCCCTAACTGCCCTCCCTTGCTGGCCTGATCAACCACAACTGCCCTCCCCTGCAGGCCTGGTCACCTCTAACTGCCCTCCCCTGCTGGCTCAGCCTGCCCCAACTGCCTTCTCCTGCAGGCCCAGTTGCCCCCCATTGCCCTCCCCTGCAGGCCCGGTTACCCTTAACTGCCCTCCCCTGCCAGCCCTGTCCCCTTCAACTGCCCTCAACTGCTGTCCCTGTTGCCCCAACTGTCCTGCCCTATTGACCTGGTCACCCCTAATTGCCCTCCCCAGCAGGCCCAGTCACCCCTATCTGCCCTTTCCTTCTTGCCCTGTCACCCATAACTGCCATCCCCTGTAGGCCCTGTCCCCCCATGTACCCTCCCCTGCAAAACTTGTCACCCCCCACTGCCCTCCACTGCATGCCCGGTTGCCCCTAACTGCCCTCCTCTGCCGGCCTGGTCACCCCTAAATGCCCTCCCCTGCTGGTCTGGTCATCCCTAAGTGCCCTCCCCTGCAGGCCCGATCACCCTTAACTGCACTCCCCAGCAGGCCCCGTCGCCCCCAACTGCCCTCCCTTGCTGGCCTGATCACCCACAACTGCCCTTCCCTGCTTGCCTGGTCGTCCCTAATTGCCCTCCCCTTCCAGCCTGATCGCCCCCAACTGCCCTCCCCTTTAGGCCTTGTCCCCCCTAACTGCCCACGGCTGCTGGCCTGATTGCCCACATCTGCCCTCCCCTGCCGGCCATCTTGTGGTGGCCATCTTTGACCACATGGGGATGGCCATCTTTTGTGAGGGTGTGACATTCAATTTGCATATCACCTCTTTATTATATAGGATTTTTTGTTGAACATCATCTAAGGATATTTTTCATTGATTTTTAAAGAGAGTGGAAGGAAGGGGGAGAGACAAAGAGAGAAACAGAGATATGAGAGAGGCATATTGATTGGTTGCCTCCTGAATGTGCCCTGACTAGGGCAGGGATTGATTCTGCAACCTAGGTACGTGCCCTTGACCAGAATCAAACCCAGGACCTTTCAGTCAGCAGATCAACGCTCTACCCACTGAGCAAAACCAGCCAGGGCTAGACTGTCACTTTTTAAATGTACTTCCACCTTCTTTCACTGGAGATTCTAGTGCTAATGCTTACTTTCACCTTCATGCTTCCTAGAAAATACTAAATTTCCTAAAAGTCACTATTATTACTCTTTTGAACACCCCAGTTCCACTCTATTTCAGGCCCCACTACCTTTGCCAGGTCCATCTTTTGCTCAGGCCCTGGATGAGTCCAAATCATACTATAACTAGAGTGTGAACAATTTGGTGATGGAAGAATTAGCATTGGGCAACCAGCCTAATCATTAATTAAGCAACAAAATACCATGACTAAAATCTAAAACATAATGAAGAACATGGATTTGTTCCCCAACCAAATTCTGGAAGTTGTGAGCAACTTTTGAAGCTCAAAGAGAGTAGTTTTGGGACTGACAAAAGGAACTTGTTTTACACTGCCAGTAGTGTAGAACTAGTTGCCCCCAGTAGGTGTTAAATTCAAACAGGTGCAAGAGCAGTTTAGAGAAATTTCTGAGTCATAAATAAGGAAACCATGGGCTACCTGAGATACAAGCTCAACCTCCCATAGGGGCACAACCAGGGGGCAATGCTCTCATGACACTTCCTTGGAGCCTTGACCAGAGGCAGAAATTCTGGCCAGACCATTGTGCTGAGGGTTAGAGGTGTATGTGGGGTTGTGGGGTGGTATGCAACTGCCACATTGTTAGGGACCCTGAACCAAATCTAAGGGATCTTCCAGAGCTAACTCTCCTCAACGTCACGTTACTGACCTGCAGGCCTAGGGGCTAGCCCTGCATCACTCCCTGTTTCCCTGACAACCACTGTGTCCAGGGGCCTTTGTGAGTCATCAAGAGCCTTTGTGATAAGCCCACTGCGGGCAGAGCAGCCTCTCAGTTTCTCTCCCCTTCCCACCCTGACTGACTGGCTCTCTTGTGATTTGAGCTCCTGTTTCCTGCTGGAAGAAGCCGACAGAAACACCGCACCGGGCATGCGCAGTGCTCTGCCAGGCGGGGAGCACCAGCCAGTTCCCTGGTCCTTTTAAATCAAGCTGGACGGGTGCTAGGCAACTGCGCGGCTCGCGCTGGAGCTGCACTGCGGAGGCTCTGCCAGGCGCCGGCCCAGCCTGGGCTCGGTGGCCAGCTGCTCTGAACTAAGTGGTGCTACCGGCGGGTGGTGGCCGGCTTCGGAGAAGTGGGGACCGGAACCACCGGACCCCATCCACGCCACCAGGTAAGTCTGCGCGCGCAGGAAAGCCGGGAGGAGCCTGGCTTGTCCCTCTTCTTGGGCTCGCCTCTCTGTAGAGGACGTTCCCCACTTGTCCCCCACCACAGGTTTCCTCTCTTTAGAGCCTCAGACCAGGAGTTAGGGAGCGTTTGGGAGGGAAGGGAACAGGGCGTCGGAGTTGAGGTATGGAAGGAGTGGGGTTGAGCCCTGCCAGCTGCCCCTCCCCGCCCCGTTTCGTGTCAGCCAGACTATAGAGATGGTGTCACCTGTGATTGTGGTCTGGCAGCGCCCTGCCTGAGCCACCTTCTCTCCACTAAAAGCAGTGATGGCAGGAGTTTCAGTTGACCATTTACAGAGAAAACCCCCCAAATTATGCATGCCTAGATATAGCTTTATAGCAAGAATGTGACTTCCATGCTAATAAAGTACTCAGCCTTCAGAATTAAGGGGACTCATTTCTTTTCTTCTAGAAGGTATCATTTCACACTACTGACAAAGAATTGTCCACAAGGCCCCTTTTTAAATGGCACTTCACTTAGTTCTCAATAACTGCCAAGCAGTAGAGAAGACAATTTGTCCCGTGAAGTGGACACTTGGCTCATATAGTAAGACTCTGAAAGACTAAGGCACAAATCAGGATAACTGCCCTTTTAAATGTTTTTTCAAATTAACTGTGCCCTGAGGGAGGGAAGCAAGATCTACACTCCCGCCCTTTGCTAATGTGGTTCTTGGCATGCTCATTAATAAGCATGCTGCTGCTACTGCAGCCACCAGCTGTGGCTCATTTGTTCAATTTGTTCTAGGTGTTGAAGGTGAGGAGATACTACTATGTTTGACTATAATGCCATCATCATTCTTGTCCCATTTGGTATTTGCATTACTTGGGAAAGGAAGACAGTGCCTCATAGTTGGGAAAGTGGGTTAAAAGTTAAGAAAACTTTCTTCAAAGTGGCTGGCATCACATTTTAGATGGACCAAACAGATATAAACAGGGATTTTGGCGTTCTGGTTCATTATGTTTTCTAATTATGCTGGTGGGTTTTTATTTTTCAGGTCAAACTGGAGGAGAATGATGGCATCAAGTAGAACACCCTGTACATCAGAAAGTGTAAGTATAGTTGTGCTGGCTCATATCTTGTTATGAGTGTTTAGAAGCACAGAGCTTCAACCTTGTAACTAGATCATTAATCTGCATGATCAGTACACTATGAAGAAAGCCTTATAAAAATACAAAAGAAAAGTGTCCTGAAGATTTTTTGCTAAGCCAAATAAACTTTGATGGGAAAATAAAAATCCTTTCCCTAAAATGTCATCCAAAACACTTCATAAGTCACAAAACAAATTATAAGTATTGACAAAAACTCAATTAGAATCAAAGCATTATAGAATTTTCAGAAAAAAGTATTAAGGATCAATTATTCAACAAATATTTTTTTTTAAGTGAGAAAGAAGGGCAGTTTCTTTTTTAAAAAAATATATTTTATGGATTTTTTACAGAGAGGAAGGGAGAGAGATAGAAACATCGATGAGAGAGAAACATCGATCAGCTGCCTCCTGCACACCCCCTACTGGGGATGTGCCCGAAACCAAGGTACATGCCCTTGACTGAAATCGAACCTGGGACCCTTCAGTCTGCAGGCTGACGCTCTATCCACCAAGCCAAACCGGCTAGGGCTATTCAACAAATATTTATTGATGGCTACTATGGGTCAGGTAACAGGTAGGGATACAAAGATGAATAAGATACCAGGAGATCACAGTATATTGGTAAAACAAAAGTTTGTATGAAATGCAGTAGAAGCACAGGAAAAACTCAGAGTGCAGCATCATCCTTGCTGATCTTCAAACTGATACTCCAATTGTAGTATTTTAAGAACTTATTGGTGACTCTGAAAACCACTGGAGCATTTGGAAAGTTCTTGGTAAAGTAACTGCTGATAAAAATACAAATATCACACTAGCTGGTTTGGCTCAGTGGATAGAGCATCAGCCTGTGGACTAAAGAGTCCCAGGTTCAATTCTGGCCAAGGGCACATGCTGGGGTTGCGGGCTCAATCCCCCCAGTAGAGGGCATGCAGGAGGCAGCCAATCAATGATTCTCTCTCATCATTGATGTTTCTATCTTTCTATCCTTCTCCCTTCCTCTCTGAAATCAATAAAAATATATTAAAAAATACAAATATCTTTGTAAAAAACACTACCACTTTCCTTCTTAGAAATAATTTAGCTTCAGAATTTGGGGGCATAAAACAACTTGCAGGATTTAGATCTAATTCTTCCCTGAGGATGCAGGTCAAATTAATGTAAGATTTGAATTTAGGTTCCCCTCTACATGCCATAATACTACCTATACATTTTTTTCAAACTGGCTTTTTCTGAGGTCTGATTACCTCAGGCTGACAACTTTGAAGCACACATCTTTGGAAAAGGGTTGAGTTATTTAACTGGCTGGTTCATGTTCTCAAGGAAGGTAAGGAAAACCTGAAAACAGAATAAGAATCATTTTTACAGTATGCTTTAAAATTACTTCCATTTTCATTAATTTCTTTTAACCACCTGTGAAATAAGTATATCGTGCCTATTTTACAGCTGAAAAAAAAATTGAGGTAAGTTTTCACATAGCTCTAAAGTGTGGGAGCCAAGATAACTGACTCCTTCATCTTATTTTTTCCACCATAGTCCACACTCAATTCCTTTCTCAAGATCTTCCTTTCTCTTCTCCATGATTCTGCATGGTAAAACATGTTCACCCACCCTGACTTCAGACAGTTCCTTTGGGTTCTAATTTTAGGATTGAATAGTTTTCTGCAAGCCAGTAATTCTCAATAGTGAGGGAATGGCAAATCTCCCCTAGATGGGGCAGGTCAGAATCTTTTCGAATAAGGAGAGAGGCTAATGGTGGCAGTGTTTTGTGCTTAGGAACAGTGGAAGAAGAATAAAAGGTTGAGAACTACTGCTTTTAAGTGAGAACAGGTTGGACAATTGAGCAAAAAAACAAGGCTAGTAATTTTCTTTGTAGCAGACTCCACCCACCTCCTCCCCCATTTTCACCGAGCAGTTTTTCTAAGGGTTGGGAGAACCAAAAACCTCCAAGAATAATGGGGAAAAGTTCCTGGAGCTAAGAAGGGCCCTTTGTCTTCCCCTTACTGCCACTGGACTATGATTAAAAGCTGGGCTTTTAATCTGGCTTTTATTTTATTTTTATTTTTTTTAACATAAAATAATAGAACATTTTAATAAAAATAGAATATTTTTTCTTGAACATTAACTTGCCAGACACTGAATAACTGCACCAATTAATAAGTGTATCACAAATAAACCTATTTTCTTGTTCTCCAAAAGCGAACTATTTTCTTTTTTTTTATATATATTTTTTATTTAATCTGGCTTTTAATCTAGTTGATTGGGGCTGAGGAACTGAGGGCAGTGACAGAAGTTTGCCCGTCCCAAGTTGGAGAGGACCTTTTCCAACCATCATTCCCAGTTTACCAAGTTTGTAATGAAGCACTCTTGTTATATGAGGAAAAGCTTCTGGAGGTTTTCCAAAACTATTTCTCAGTCCCTGCATACTCCTGCCTAGAAGAATAGTCTCTTTTTGCAGACACATCTGGATTTATGCAAAAGAGGTGGTCCTGAAATTTTGAAATCAAATTCTAATGTAAATGAGATAAGGCGACAGAAAAAAATTATATTTGATTTTTATGTCATCAAATTTTTCTAAAGCATGTGATTTAAAATATGAATATTTTAGAAAAAATAGTTTGTATATATTTGATCACTTATCCACCTTAATATGAGTATATTCCTCAGGGACCCATACCTTGAAAATGAAACAGATTTTTTTTTTTTTTTGCATTTCCCTTTCACAATCAACAGCAGTGTATTATTTTCTGGAACTATTTAAGGATATATATGCATTCACCTAAGATTTTTATGGAATGGTTTGCCCAAAGATCCATAATAAATGACCACTCCTTGCTTAGCTTTTAACAATTATTATGTTATATCACATCACATTATTTTCAATTTATATTATTAGTGCTTCCCAAATTCTTTAGGTAAATATAAACTACTTTTATGAGTTAAGAGATCCCTTACTCCACCAAAATGACCTACTATCTTGCCAGAGGGTAAAAGTCATTAGAGGATGAATGGTGATGTTTTCAGGTAGACACTAACTAGAACCATCAAGAGTCCATTATTAATTTATGCCAGACACAAATGAATAGCTATATCATATTATGGACACCCCGGCATTGACAGTTTAATCCCAAGGATTTCTGGGGGATCACTGTCTTAGAGGATCACTAATGTTATATTTGTCATGTGACTATATCATTTTCCTTGTTCTGACTTATTTCTTTACATCTTTTATTTCTCTTGGACCTCCTTCCCCTACCCTTCAGTCCTTCAGAATCCAACACAGTGTTGGGTAATAATAAATATAATAATAAATTTTCATAATTGATGCACTAAAAAGTCATTCTTGTACTTTCAATAAGGATTCTGGTTTGATTTGCCTTATGCTGCAAAAATTTACCTAATTAAGTTTTTTGTGAGCAAAATGGCTACCACTCAGGGGTAGAGGAGTGTCATTGCTTCAATGCCTATTCCTTTTCCTTGCCAGAGAATACTAATGTCATACTTGTTCCACATAAAAAAATAAACAGTGCAATTTGCAAAGAGAAAATGAGACTGGCAGCTTTTAACCCCAGTGTGGGCTTTGCCATATTCTGGGTAGATTTGGGAACAGGCCATTAAAGGATATCTTGCCAATGAAATAGAAAAAGAAAGAAAGAAAGAGAGAGAGAAAGAGGAAAGAAAGAAAGAAAGAAAGAAAGAAAGAAAGAAAGAAAGAAAGAAAGAAAGAAAGAAAGAAAGAAAGAAAGAAAAAAAGAAAGAAAAAGGAAAGAAAGAAAGGAGCTCAGAGACCCCCCTGACCCTGCCCTGTATAAGCCATGTGAGGAGAATTCCAAAGGCATTTCAAACCTTTCTCTTTCTGCCCTTTGATATGTGACATGCCATTCTCCTTACCACCACCACCACCACCCCCGCTTTATTTTTACTCTGTCCTTTTGTGGCCCTTTAAAAAATACCTAAGCTCTGAAAATACTGGGTTGTTTTCTTTCAATTTGTGGAATGAAACCCAGCAGAATAATAAAGGGGAATTTTAGAACAAGTACGGACCTGGGAGACAGGGTTTCAGTTTTACCATTACAGGCTGTGTAGCCTTGATCAAGTCATTTAACTTCTCAGAGCCTTAGTTATAAAATAAGTCTATTCTCCCCAGTTCTATGAAAAGCATCATCTATATCAGGAAATTGTACAGAAGTTCAGAAAGGTAGTGAAATTTATGTATTTTGAGAAGGTTGGCGATAGAAGTCACTTTTTCAAGTACAAATGACTAAAAAGAGTTTTCTAGTTTAAGTTTTATCTCTACCTAAATCTCTTTGTCATTATTGCTATCTGCAGTTATAAAGTGGCCTTGGCTTACTTGCCTTGCTGCATATCTCCTTTCAGATCAATCTCATCAATGCCTTTCATCCAGAATTCATTAGGAGGAATAGTATTCTCTCTCCCATTACTACCTGATTGGAAGCATTTTTATCTTTTACAGGATGGTCTAGTGAAAATTTGACTGCTACAACAATGTGACTGGCTACAGATGATGTATTGTAAAATGGCATACCTGAAATCTATATAATTTTATTAACTAGAGGCCCGGTCCCCACAGCCCAGCCAGCACCCTCTCCAATCTGGGACCCCTCGAAGGATGTCCGACTGCCCGGTGGGATTGGGCCTATATGGGCAGTCAGACATCCCTCTCACAATCCAGGACTACTGGCTCCCAACCCCTCGCCTGCCTGCCTGCCTGATTGCCCCTAACCACTTCTGCCTGCCAGCCTGATCACCCCTAACCACTCCCCTGCCAGCCTGATCGACGCCTAACTGCTTCCCTACCGGCCTGATTGCCCCCAACTGCTCTACTCTGCTGGCCTAGTCATTCCTAACTGCCCTCCCCTGCCAGCACAGTCGCCCCAAACTGCAGTCCCTTGCTTACCTTGTTGCGCCTACTGCCCTCTCTGCAGGCCTAGTGCCCCAACTGCC